ATTTGATTCGATTAGTTTTGGGTACAAATCTGTGCATGTTAATTACTTAATTTGCATAACGATTACTAAATTTGTAGCTTTCCCACTGAAATATATCTCAAGTTCTAATCACATTTAAATGAAACTTGGTACATAGATGTTCTAGGAAAATGCACAGACCTGATTAGTTTTGGGTTATAATCTGTGCATATTAACTACCTAGTTCGCATAATCAACCAATTTTCAGCTTTCACACTGATATCCCAAGTACTAATTATTCCACTTCAATGAACAATGTACAGTCTTGATTAGTTTTGGGTAAAATTTGTTCATATTAATATCCTAATTAGCATAAGAATTGATATTTTGTTGGTTCTAATCACATTGAAAGTTGATACAAAGATGGTCTGTGACATTTCACAGACCTTATTAATTTTACACTCAAATCTGTGCATATTAATTACCTGATTTGCATAATTAGTCATTTTTCAGCTTTTCCATCAATATCTTAAGTACAAGTAATTTTGAATTAATTTTTAATGTGTTTCTAATACTCTCAGCACATAGTAGTTCTGCCTAAGCTTACTGTGATTGATACTTGATATATGTGTACCTTGGATGGACCTCTAATAAATTAGTTCACAGACATATTTCACTAATTCACAGACGTATCCTTCAACGGGAGTTGGTGAATCTACTGCTTTGGTACAAATAAATATCAGATGTGATGAGACACTTAAAATAGTATGTGAACAAAGCCAGGGTCATTTGTTTTCCTGATATGATGTTTATGTAACTATGCATGGCTTTATTATTGCATGGCACTGCTGAAAACGAGGAGCCATTTCGACCATTAAATCATTTGTTAGAGTAAACATGAAGGGAACAGTTAGTCTAACTCTCCTTACAGCATTGGCATGTACACATATATATGCTAGGCACATTTGAAATGAAATTTCTCAAACTGGTGCTTAACACTGCGGGTATGATGCAGTGAGGAGTGAGAAAATCACCAGCAGTGGTTGGTGGAATGACTGATTACTGATTTGGGACACGTCTGTAGAATGTTTGGAGATAGACTTCCAAAAGTATGTTTTCAATCAAGAGTGAGTGAATGAATGGTAATGGGGAATGGGAAGGTCAGCAACGAAGAGTCCGCACCCAGAGTGGGAATTATTTTGCCGCAAGAAGACGGTCAGGTTGCAATTAACAGATAAAAACATTGTGGAAGAAAGATATGTCCGAAAATGCCCGTTGTTAAGTAGTACTGGTATGCGTGTTAAATGTGAATTGTTGTTTTAGTCGTATTACAATGGGGGTATAAACGTTACTGTTCTGTGTGGCTGATAATGCTGTACTGAACTAAATTAAATGTCCAAATCGGTTATCCATCTGATCTGCTGCTTTTGAATTATAGATGAAAAGCTCTCATTAATAAGGGGGTGTTGCATCAAGATAAATGTTGTACGTGTATGTACATGTACATTATTACGTAAAGTTATTTCAGATTTCCTGAATAGTCGGCGTCTTGTTTGTGGTTAATTTCAGTATGCACATCAATGCCCCCACGTTCTCTGCTAAGCATATTTTGAGTGGCAAACAGACCATGACAGTTCATTCCTCTTTGCGACTTTGCTCTTATCGAAAAGATAAATATATTACTTTTTCTTCCATGTCATCGAGCTCGTATGAACTCGTAATGATTCAAGCTATGACGAACAATCTTGAATTAGGCCCCAAACTCCTTCATGAAATGACACGTAAAAGTCAAACTTGTGGAACCACGATTAATAATTTTTAGTAGCCGTGGTGAAGCTGTTTTTTTTTGTTTTTTTTTACAGTTTTCGTGTCACCTGACCATTCGTAAAACTGCATCAAATCTGACCCTTGCGTTTACGACGAGACTGTGAGTGAGCAGCGCCACCAACGCCCAGGTACTGTTTAAAAACGTTCTGTATTGCAATTCGAACATGTCGGCATATAGTAAATGTTGAGTCTTAGTCAAAATACCAGTATATTATATAGAAACAACATAATGACAATATTCTGAATGAAATTGGGTGATTACTTAAACAAAAATTCGCACATTTAAAAGGTACTATATCTATAACACCCGTAATTCAATAATTACACGAGTGTAACTGGTGAATTTCTACTGACCCAGTTTTCAATAGCACCATGATAATTGCAGTTACCATGGCATCGTGCATGAATTGATGTCTAACGAAATTGTAGCATGTAAGATATGCAAACAACTAATCGCCAACACTATCGCCATTAGAAAATAAATAAGAGTTGTTGAATTTGACCCTTGATCATAATTAACGAGGATGAATACATTCACGACAATAGACACGTTCACTCAACATACTTGTAGTTTACGTTCAAGGTGGGGAGTAGCTCATTGTATTGTGACACGACAAAGGCCATTGTCATGCTACTGGACTAACTCTAAAATTATATTGTCACATGTCGTTATTACAGTGGTGCAATAGACCAAGAATCATTGTTGTTCTAAATTAAGTCTAGGAACAGTATTCGAGTAAAACATCACTGCAAAACCAGACTCTCCGCGAATATTTATCTACAATCCACGCTATATCAATTTCTATGAATTCAGTCTTCATCCTTATAAATGACATCATTTGAATAAATAATTAATAGGTAAAAAAAATCAAACCGGTAGTACATGTACTTGCAATCAATGATGAGATGAGCGACTTCCATATCAATACTAAATCAGCACAGCTGAAAATGACGCGCAAGGAGTACGGTCTCACAATGACTAAATGGAATTTATAATACACAAGCTGAGCGTCAAACAATATTTAGTAAATAATTACATACATAAAGCCATGTATTCATGGTTCAATACGAATTGTCCTCTGTGAAAATACTACTCACCAGCGGTTAAATATAATTATTATATTAGAAATACTCTATGAAAGCGCTATTATAATAACTATATAATTCAGTGATAATAATGTATTCAATGTGTATTTTATTTATAAATACGGCATGTACTAATAGAATTGATGTCGAATCATCACTGGATATAGTGCGATGCGTGATAGGTAAATACAGCACGGACAGTGACTTTAATGATTTTATATTTACTGATTATAATTAAGAAATACAGTGGATCCAGGAATAGACTGAATAAAACTCGATTTCCTCTTCAAATGTTTGTCATCGCAAATACAAATATTTGCCCGATCGACCATTTGCGCGGTTATTAAGCCGTTGAAATCACGTGCATGCAACGATATGTTGTATACTTGAATCTTGAAATAGTGTATGTTCGTGACCATGCATGTATTTTAAATACAGTCAATGCTGTGTTAAGATTCCTTGACCACCTGTCCAATGTACCAGTGATTGCCCTTTTATGTTTTGATGAAATTAATTCGGGTAAAGGATGGAAGATATTTGTACTTGTCTTTAATTGACATTTTTAATTAACCAAGACAAATCAGAATATATATACACTTTTCATTGACACAAATTGTCTCCGACAAACGCTTGTCGTGATTTTATTCACAATTAGAAGTTTGACAAAATAAAACAGATGGAACATTAATTATATTTACAAGATTTTGCATTTTCATGTCACGCGTGCATGAACGATGACAACGCATGTATTTTTTATTTCCTTTGCACCCACGGCCAAAACATGACAGAGAGTGTAGCGTCCGTATTAGATGCAGTAATTTCGACTGTGAAGATGGACTCCGCATAACAATAAGTACGTGTAACTTATACAATTTAAAGGTTTATAGTAATATAACCGCATTTCGATAAACCCCATTTTCACATGAAAACTACTAAAGGAATAACACGTGCACTCAGTGTCTTCTGGCAACGCTGTACATATGTTGGACCATTTAACCACCTGTAACAATTACTAGCAGTATACTTGCATCCTCTTGTAATGTAGCATGGAGCTTCCTATGTGCATGAATACCGGTCTAAAGGACTTGTACATATACATCCAAGTCCTATAGTGTTGCGCCTGCCCTTTCAAGCTTTGACTGACTCTTAGGCCGTTTATTCGGCGATTAGTCTTACGTATGTTAACATTCATCTGATACAGAACGAAACTAGTGTTAGATTCCAGCACACCGTGTCGACAAGGTCACAATACTGCAACCACCAAACTCCAAGTCGACCATGCAACCCGCACATACTTCACGTAGTCATAAATCCAGGCGAACAATTCACACCTTAATCAGAATCCCATCCTATTGCATCTACAAATGGTCTACAATGCCGGCGGACGCATCTTGCATGGCCTTGAGATTCGTTGTACACAGTAAAATGGGTACGTCCACATGGTGGTTTTAAGGTGCGTTTAGCCAAGTATATACGAATCTCCGTTTAATATCTCCAACTCAATAGAACCACGTACGAGATCATTTTATCGATACGTGTAACTCCACGAACACCTCGTTGTGAACTCTTGTGCCGATGTCACGGATACTGGTCAGGGGTTCTTTTCAATTTGTTTAAAAGTATTTATTGCGGTGTCGTAAAATTCAGTTCTGCGATTGTAGTCGCAATTTTACATCGCGTGTAAGACGAGAAACCATTTGAATATGAAATATACGACCTTAGTCCTTATTGATTTATTGTCTGTTTCGCGTTTTTTTTTTTCATTTTACATGTGCGTCGCTGAATGTTTTGCTAATATATTTCAGGTAACTGAATTGGATAAAAGTATGTACATATATACTATTATCAGATGTCGGTATTAGTGTGATATTTGGATCGAGTGTTTACTTGCGCGCGATGTGGTCTGATTCACCGATACCCATCAGTTCGTTTCCTACCGACGACTTTCCTCTCATTCATTAAAAAATCACTATGTCTATTGATATGCATGCGATGCCTGAATGGACAGCGAAGCCCATTTAAAAGAAGTAGGCGTCCTATACGAATCACCGCCCGTTTGTGTGTACACACACAGGGCCAATAGAAACAACAAATACAGGTAGGTTCTCAGTAGTACGTCGGCGCTGGCCACTGAAGCTTGTAGTAACAGAGGGGGTCATAATGGCGATCGCCGCGTTAGTATTTACGGGGCTCCTCCTTTTTTTCCTTGCTTTTAATACGGACGACAGTTTTGCCTTTCCGACCGGTGCTCCACAATCAGCGTGCGTGAGCATGACACCGGGGCATATTGGAATATCGCCGCAGGATAGCAATCCACCGTTCACAATACACGTCTCACCAATCGAGTACTCGTCGAGTTCAATTGCATACGGTAAGTAACAAGTGCGATGACACACCTTGAAAAATGTACCCCAAACACTCAGGCTGTAGACTATTCCACGGACCAGCGATTCTATGAAGTTGTACAAACATAAATGCGCCCTAACATTACATTTGATTGCTCACAAATTATCCACGCGCACTTAATTCAACTTTCCGTTTTAGATTACGCTAGCTCCGCAATCAACTTCGAAACTTTTAGAAATCAGAGAAAGTGACATCCCCGGTCGCCCATGGCGTGACCGCAAGGTCAGCACAGCCTCACATGAACACATAGCTAAAGATCACTATAAGTACAAAACTTTTCAAATCGGAGTAACTGAGCTTAGACTGTTTTTCAACGTCTAATGTTATGTCACTATTGATGATTCCCGCCCAGCCTTATACCAAATGTATCCTTGACAGTTACGCAAACGATCATACGCGTTGCTCACTTGGCCTGTTACGCGAGTGCAATCCTAGCAATTAGCATGCTGTGAATTGCTAGGAAGACACTGCATTTGATGCAAAAAAAGCCGCTGATCACAATAGTCAGTGATTGATGTGCACAATTCGAACAGCTTTCACATACCAGTATATGTGCACAACTGTACAGTGTAAGCATATGGTTTTGCGATCAACAAGTTTCAATCGCTAGCTTGATGTTCACGTACACGAATTAAAGGCGTTTCATCTCGCGGTTAGTACTCATCGCGACGGAAACACAATCTGTTACGAACTGTCGCGATGTATTCGATCTTCTTGACCCGATTAATTATTCGTTTCGCAGCATATCAAAGGTAGTTAAAAAAAATAGTTCATGGTCTTTGACATGTTTTCTGACTGTCACTTACCAATTGTTGAGCAAAGAAAAGCGAATGATCACAATAAACTGAACCACCCTTCCTTTTAACTTCTATATTTTCGTTTTTGTTTCTGCATACACATGCGCTGTTTAACTTTTACCGTTCTCTTCGCCTGTGCACACTGCTCTTTCATACTTATTCAATGTCCACGACGCACTGAGGGTCAACGAGATATATCGCATTTTCAATTACTTCTCACTTGTATGCCCAGTGAATACCCTAATTCTTCAGATGCTTTTCTCTGATTGTGTTTGCTTACGTTTTTTTTTTTCATAAAGACCGTTCTTCGTAAACACACAGAGACAGAACCACGATTCAATTACCACTTAATAGAGCACACCTTCTCCGTATAAAAAATGTTTAGTTTAGCTTTTGTTTGTTCCTCTTACCGAGTTCGGACATAATCATTCGTGTTGACTCGGTGAAAACCGACACCCGTTACCCGAGGGAGATTGACATGATCTTGACCTCACGCTATAGTATAGTGACCTCGGCACCGCGATATCTTACACAGTGATCCACAATTAGACTAGAAGTCTCTTACCTGGTTACCTTCCTCCTTCAGCGCAACCTTTAACGGCACAGGATTAAGTGTGTGGGTGGGGACGGGGGAGATGGTCAACATTATCTACACAGACGCCATTGACATAACCATAAGATTTACCACCAATCGATATGTGTGGAAATTGATTATCGCCGAGAAATATTCCTCGGAATCATACATACTTTACAATAATACAACGTGTAGTGTTGTGTTTCAGGTATCAAACCAGTAATACAAATATAATCTTTCTATATTATGGCAATATTAGCGGATTTATTTGATTACCCTTAGCTCTTGGTGATGTGTAGTAGGTGGAGTACGGGAGTATTTGTCGGGGGATATTTGTCGAATTCACAAAATTCGATAAATCGCAGACAACTAATGAATAATTATTAGTTTTCTGAGGGTAAATGTATTAGTTTGATACTTTGATAACGGTCTATGATCAGTGTCTTATTATGACTTATTTTTATTTCCTGTAGTAATGCAATTTACAGTTTCAAACAGACTCCACCATCGACAGATGGGCATTATCGCTAGACGAAAACAGTTTAATACAACAGCGAAATAACGAAATCAATTTCTAAGACCACTAACTGTGCTGGCATGTGTATTGTTTTCTTTGTTCAAAATTATACAAGAGAACGTCAAACGTAAAACGCAACGCATTCACATTAAGACGCGCTGTCTCCGATACATAGAAGAATATCAACTCAACTGGGTTCTTTCCTGCTGTTGTAGACTTTGTGCGACGTGCTTTAGTACGAGATAAAAAAAGTTTGTTTTGAATCATATGATATATGGGTTTGATTTCCAGTAAGTCCTTTTCACAGATACGGAGAAAGTTTGCTGCTATTAAACAAACAAACATACACTTGTTACACTCATAAGTATACTAGTATTATGGAGCGTTTGTATTTATTCGAATTTCAGTATAAGTTCTTATTTTACAAAAGCCATATTCGAAATTGCGTTATCATTGTTGTGTAGTGAGTCCCAATGAGTTACTGAATTTACAATATATGATTTGTATTTTTTTACGCAATGGGATTTCCCCTCTAATATTGGGGGTCCGGTAGGAATATGGGTTAACACAACTATAGGGAAGAATGTCATGAGTACAAATGCTGTGGATATACGTAGACACATATATGCACCATACTGGACGTTCCAATGCACTCGCACGAGGTGATGCATTCAACGTCCGATTACATATCATGAACCAATCGCCTCGCTAATTATTTGTGCAAAGTTCAGAAACATGCGTTACGCAATTTTCTACTTTAATTTGTGATATAGGTTTTGCAAAACATGATTTCTTGTGTTGGAAAAACAACTGACAGTAGTGGCGTAACCGGTGGCCGATGCAACTTGTCTTGGTTCATGGGTTTGGGATGGTATAGGGACCTGACCTGACATGACCTGACTATGCTATAGGGAAATACACAATACGTTAAGTTATGTTATTTTTTTCTCCTGTAAAGTATGTTTAGTAGACCGCGTGTTTGGTAGACGGCCAACAGTTATACGTTTTTGAGAGACAGTAATAAATAAGATCTCTCGACGTCACTTTATAACAATTGTCTTGCCAATGCCTGCTGGCAGGTCCTATAATATAAAGTATATCTAAATATTATTTAAAGTATTTAAACAAAGATAATAACAGACGCGGGAGATTTTTTCTGGATATTAAATTTATCGCATCTATTCATCCTGTATATGCATATGTAATAAGACATGTAACACAGGTTCCTATACCGACCAATAAACTATTACAGCTAGGAAGTCTATTGTTATCGTATTTCACCACACCATGGTGTCAGTCTATACGCCGACACACCTCGATGTTATGTGACTCGAGATTACATTTTTATACACTGTATCTGAAATACTTTGAAACGTACAATTACCACCAAATGTTACGATGGGCACCTGTGTTCGGTTTATATTGGTACGATTTCACTGTGATCTCAGCGGTGACTTAGGCATTATAGTTTGGAATCTTGAGCGATGGAGTTCCATATAGTTTACTCATTTTACTATTAATTTGTTATTTGGAACCCGGGAAATAGTGACCGAAGACGAAATTTTGACATACTTGTACCACTATTAATTAAAATCTAAACTTATTTTCTGTTTTAACGAACCTTGCTTATAAACAATTGTTACCCGACCTAGTGATGTTACAGAATAATTGTAATGTCCATCCTCCAAATACTATTTAGAGCATACCTCTCAACGAAAAGCACCGTGACTGTGCCAATGAGAGAAACTAACTGACCTTCCAAAGATACCCGGGATTATTTCTTTGCTATATGTTGTCATCTCAGAACAACTCCCTGAATGTGAGCCACGTTACGTTAGAAAACATTCTTAAACAATGAGCAAATTTTTGAAGAAGAAAAAAAAATCGGTATAAATGTCTTCGCACGATAGACTCCCTCTTCCACACCCTCCAAAAGTGAAAACGCTTCACAGAGTTCATGTGGGCATGCGTCCTTAGCATTCCGGAGTCTTACCAACGTAACAGTGGACTAGTTTTACCTGACCTGTCGAATCTACGATGGAACAATAGCAAACACCTGACAATACAATGTAGGCGATGAAACAACAAAACGCTTTATATAAACGGCTAGCCTTCGGGGGTCAATTCCTGATCCCAATTAATCAAGGACATTTCAAGAATAAGTACAAGGATTCGCATTTATTGCGGGAAACGTAATAATAGTCCCACGAGAATGCTATATTTCACTTGCATACTTGTCAGTGATACGTCACCAACTATGTGGTCAGGTCGCTTCGCCGGGAATCATGTCCATCGACGACGTAATGCCGCACGGTATTTAGTTTAGCCACGCTCAATTTGATGTGTACTGACTTAACATAAATGGTAATTTCAATAGCCACAGCACGTCTGTCATACTGTCATGTCATTATCTTGTAATGGAAACATTGTCCACGTATGACGGCTAGTTGAAATGGCGAAATGTCTTTAGATTACGTATAAGAAACAGCTCAAATTGTCGGTATGTTGCTCAGTTAGCAAATGACCATCCCATTGTATTATGACGTGTACTCCCGTATGAAAGGGCATTTATGTACATATGGACTCCCATTATAGCAGCGTTGCAAGCTTGTTCCTCACACTAGTTTCATTCACTAAAACCGCAATGGCCTCCTAACCACGCAGTATGTTCGCAGTCGGTTTTGGAAGCGGGAGCATGTGAAAGCATAGACCATAGAAAGAGATCTTTCTAAGGTCTAGAGTTGAAGATGGACAGTCGGCTAGTAAGTTGTACTTAATAAACGTGACACAATAGAAAAAGGCAACTTGAATTTCTCCGAGTACGTAATATGTGACCACGACCGACATTATGGTGACATATTTTTCTTCCAAAGACGGAGAAAAACAAATATTTTCAGGATACACAGTGAAATTGATCTGGTCAAGATGAATACTGCAAATACATCAAGATGGGTGGAACGAATTTCTCAACAAACAAGACGATAGCTGAAATTATATTGGTTTTTCAAATATTTTGGTCAACCCTGTCCATATGAGGAGATTCTCAATTTGTATGCGTAGGTGAAAAGAAAATTCAACACTTATACAAAAACTTGAGTTCAAAGTTTATTTCCTACGACCAAAGACTGGGAAGACTTACATTTTCTTCCCATAATGCTCCATACCTTATTTTGTTCTATGAATAAAGGTTTAATACATGTAAAGGGGGCGTTATTTTTCGAAGATATTGTTCACATAAAATAGTAAGATAAAGCATACAAATAAGAATACCAATCACTAAACCGTTTTTGTCACGTTTGCCTTTAAGGGCGGTTCTGACATTTTGGCACACAAAACATTTTGGAAGTAAATGGGGGCCTACATTCCATAATATTCCATGTGTCAGTGCGCCAATCCTAAATTAAATTATTTCCTAAACACTAACATTTTAATCACGTGACACCTCAAGAATCTAATCATTCAGTGACATTATAACAATGAAGGTACTGGCTGACGTCAAATCATTCTTTACTATGTGTAAGTCACGTCGCAAACAATTATAGTTTTGAAAAAAACGGTTACCTCACATCATCAAGTGGTTTGAATGTTATTGCAAAGTGGCACAATTAATTTTAAAAAGATATTTGAAACTCGATGCAATGTGTATTTCATGTTCAATACCTGCAACACTACGCCCAGTTCGCAAAGATTTCGTAGGTTTCCGATGTTGTATTTCAAATTTGACTTGTGAATTTCTCAAAATATATAATGGCTGTTGGAAGAGTATCTCGGAGTCCTCTGTACTATATTGTGTTATTACTATTTGTGGCTTAAGGGTGTTGAAGTAGTATATCAAATGACAATTTAATTGAACAGCGTAGTCGAACACCATGAAGTATAATATTGTTTTGCTGTGAACGATTATCATTCTTGTCGAGTATTTTACTTTTAATCCAGAACGTTAATCTCCAAACCTTCCATCAGCACGTCGATTGGTGCTGACGTGTTGATGCATGTAATTCAATGTTTCGGTGTTCAGTTTTTACAATGAGCTCCGTTTCTAAGCTGACTTTGTTACGTGAAATTCCATCATAAATACAGTACGTCTACCGAGGCGCTCTCATTCTGTCTAAAACTTGATTGCAGCCATGATTGACTGCACAGGTCGTGATCCATCCTTTTCAACGCTTGAAAAGAAATACACGTGTTAACTTTGGGTAAACAACTTCGCCAGATCACGACTTGTGTTGGTCTTTTCACATTAATGACTGAGTACACTACGATGTTTTATTGACACGCGTGTTAAAAATACTACATATCACACATGCCTATTGGCGTGATTTCTACTAACACAAATACAGTTTATCAAACTAACTATTTGATTCCCGTTACACATGATTGAACATTTTGCGAGTGTTGAGAGAGTAAGATAAGGTTCATATATGTTGTGTATTGCGATCTCGAAGACATATAGGAATAAAAGCACAATAAG